CTAGGGCACTTGACTACTAACCAAAAGGCTGGTGGTTCAAACCCACCAGCCACTCCTTGGAAGGAAGATTGGGCAATCTACTTCCGTAGTGATACTACCTTGGAAACCCAAGGAGGGGTCACTATGAGTCGGGCCTGACTCCATGGCACATAATAACAACTTCAACAACATAGCACTGATATCACATGCAAGTAAAATCTTGCAGAAGGTAATTAAAAAATGGTTGTAGCAGTATATTGACAGAGAACTTCCAGAAATGCAAACTGGATTCAGAAAGGGATGTGGAGCAAGCGATGTCATAGCTGATGTCAGATGGATCTTGGCTCAAAGCAAAGAATACCAGAAAGATGTTACTTGTGTTTTATTGACTATGCAAAAGCATTTGATTGTGTGGATCATAATAAATTGTGTATAACATTGAGAAGAATAGGAATTCCAGGACACTTAATTGTACTCATGAGGAACCTGTACATAGACCAGGAGGCTGTCATTCAAATACAACAAGGGGATACTGCATGGTTTTAAATCAGGAAGGGAGTGCATCAGGGTTATATCCTTTCACCAAACTTATTCAACATGTATGCTGAGCAAATAATCGGAGTAGCTGGAGAATATGAAGAAGAATATGGCATCAGGATTGGAGGAAGGCTTATTAATAACTTGTGATACAGACACAACTTTGCTTGCCAAAAGTGAGGATGACTTAGGACATTTACTGATTAAAATTAAAGGCTACAGTCTACAGTATGGATTATACCTCAACATAAAGAAAACAAATATCCTCACAACTGGACCAGTAAGCTGCATCATGATAGATGGAGAAAAGATTGAAATTGTCAAAGATTTCATATTGCTTGGTTCTACAATTAACTCCAATGGAAGTAGCAGTCAAGACATCAAAAGACGTATTACATTGGGCAAATCTGCTACAAAAGACCTCTTTCAAGCACTGAAGAGCAAAGATATCTCCTCAAAGACTAGGATGCACCCAACCCAACCGTGGTATTTTCAGTTGCCTCATGTGCATGTGAGAGCTGGACAGTGAATAAGGAAGACAGAAAAAGAGTAGATGCTTTTGAGTTGTGGCGTTGGAGAAGAATGCTTAGAGTATCATGGTCTGCTAAAAGGACTAACAAATCTGTCCTTGAGAAGTACAGCCGGAATGCTCCTTGGAAGTGAGAATGGCCAGACTTCGTCTCATCTACTTTGGTCATGTTGTCAGAAGGGACCATTTTCTGGAGATGGATGTCATACTGGGTAAAGTGGAGGGTCAACAAAAGAGGAGAAGGTGCCAAATGAGATGGATAGACACAGTGACTGCAGCGATGGGCTCAGGTATAGTAGGGATAGTGAGGCTGGCACAGACCGGGCACTCTTCGTTCTGTTGTCCATAAAATCGCTATGAGTTGGAGATGACTCGATCTCACCTAACAACAACAATGACGACTAACCTCAGCCCTAACCCTGAACTGTATATGTATATAATACAAATGTAATCTATACTACAATATATAAGCATGATGCATTAATAGAACATAAATAACTTATTTTCTAATATGTAATCTATAGGTTACGATATAAGAATATAACATGTATTTTAGGTAAGATGAAATATGTCTGTTTATAGTGATATTGTCAGTTCAAATTTAAAACAGTAAAACTCTTCTTTATCACATCTGTATCTTTGTTTCTCTATATCAATAATTCTGTTTCTCAAGGGGGATGGAAATGATAAAATTAGAACATTTGATAATTATTTACCTTGTCAAGTAATATACACATAGTAATCTAAAAACTTTTTTAAAATCTTAAGTCCTTTTTAAAGTCATAAAAAAAATTTTTTGTAGATCATCTCCCTGTTATTTCACATTAAAAAAAATATAGTTGTACTATGTTGGGAGCCCTAGTGGCATAGTGGCTAAGGCATATGACTGCTAACCAGAAGGCTGGCGGTTCAAATCCACTAGCCACTCTTGGAAGGGAGATTGGGCAATCTACATCCGGAGAGATACTGTCTCAGAAACTGAAGGAGTGGTGGCTATGAGTCAAATTGACTTGAAGGCAGTGAGTTTAGTTTTTGGTTTTATACCTATTTTATCTGAAAATATAGCTGTTAGATGTTATAATTTTTACTTACTTTTCCTTTAGTTTTAGTTCTAATTATAACTGCAGGCTCTTTAAGTTGATATCTTTTGGGTTGTTTTGGTTGCTGAAGCTTATTTTCTTGTACAAGGGTGCACAAACATTTACTTTCAGAGACAAGATAGTGAGTAATTGTGCTCTGCAGGCAATACAATCTCCATCCCAACTACTTCACTCTTCTAATACGTAAGCAACTACAGACACTATATAAACTAATGAGCATGGCTGTGTTCTAAAGAGACTATGTTTCAGTTTCATACAATTTTCACATATCACAATATATTTTTGTTTCTTTGATTCCACCCCTTCCCCCCAAACTATTAAAAAAATATGAAACTATTCTTGATTTGTGAGCTCTATAAAATTAGGTGACAGGCCAGATTTGGCCAATGGACTGTAGTTAACTGACTCTTGCTCCATCAGGTTTTACAGAAACAGTTCCTTGCACGTTGTAAAGTTTTTTCTGATTTATACTTAGAAGTCAGTTTTGTTAGATTTAAAATCCTTGGCTTATGTTTTCTTTCTTTGAGTATCTTCTGGCATGAAAATTTTCTATCAACGTCTGACGATAATTTAAATCACTTATTTATAAATTATATACTCCTTTTTTTTTTTTTCCCTCCTAAGTAATATTAATAGAATGTTTCTTTGTTTTGAAAATTTTTATTGACATTCTTAAGTATGCTCTGGTGTGTAATTCTAATATGTAATTTCAAATCATTAAAAAAAACTTTCGAGTAAATGTTCTTGAATTGTACTTTTTAGTATTTGTTCTTTTTCTTAGCTTTGGTTTTCTTCAAGGACTCTGATTCTTATGTTGGTGCTCTTTGGTTATCCTCAGTATTTATTTTCTCTAGCATCTTTGAGAAGAATGGGAATCCCTGAGCACTTGATTGTACTCATGAGGAATCTGTACCTTGACCAGGAGGCTGTCGTTCGAACAGAACAAGGGGACACTACA